ATTATTAACACCTGTCAACGAATGGCAGTACAATAACTAGATTATCACAGATATGAATTTAAAACTAGTAATTAAATCTAAAACAGTTTAACTATAGACTATAGATCACCATACTAGGGACCACGGGGACTTGCAGTACATTTGCTTCCTGCATGTACTGAAGCTTGATTTACACCATCTCCCTTCAACTGTTAGCAAGTTAGACACATCTAGCCACTGAAAAGACACATATTCTACGATTATGTCCAAAAATAGTTTTGTACTTTTAAGATATATGCTAGCTAGTTTTAACTCAATCTGTGATAATCTAGTGGTTTTACTGTCCTTCGTTGATAGGGTTTTATCTATTATCTGTATGTATTATAAATTTAGAACTAGTTTTAGTCACGAAATGGCTGAAATATTGCCGATGTGACTTTAAATTTTAACTGACTCACTCACTCACTATTCTACGATTAAAACGGTTAGATAGATTTAAATTGACTTAGAATGTTTTGGGACTTACGTACCCTCTCAGGAGGACAATAATTTTACATTACATTAAACCCCCTTGAGGATACAGCCTCTCACAATCTGACTTACTAATTTAAACCTCCCATCATAAAATATTTATCTACTTACAAAACATTCAACAAATATATTTCTTTTAAAAATGCAATAACTAAATGAGAACTGATATTACTAAAAAGATGCGTCATAGTTCGTGATTTGAAATAGTTATCCCTTGTGATGGAATATTCTACACAGTCAAGTAAGATGCTTGAAAAAATTATGTAACATTACCGAGGAGTGAAACTGAAAATATATAAATGGATGGGGACGGGGTGGTGTGTAACCGCAAATGAGCCAATAGTGAAACATGAAACAGTGGCATGTAAAAAGTGGCGAATATTATGTTTATTCTTCTAAGTGAGTCTGAGTGAACACAAAGAAGGATTACAAGGATTTGTGTATCGAATCTAGCAGGTCTATTTCCAGTTAGCAGACTGTAACATTTGGTGGTTTTACACTTATGTGCATTTTCAACAACACAACATTCCGTGAGATGTACCATGTTGTACATTGTACCAGGGATGCAGTCGTGTTTAGTTTAGACCGTTGAAGCCACGCTGACCTAATCAGACTTAATCAAAGCATTATGTATGTTGAAACAAACTCATCCTGGCGTGATGTGACTGCTACAGTACATCCAGCTACTCAAGGACTGTGATAGATTCAGCAAGCTGCATATTACTATTTTATGGTATGTCAGGTGCGAAATCGTGTCAGCATGAATTAGGCTGATAGAGCATGAAATTAGATAGCAGAAACTGGAAAATCCTTCATAAAAGCCACATACTGAAATGTTCTTATTTCTCTAAATAGGAACACTCCTTTGTCCTGGAAGGCAGCCAAGGTTCCCCATAATGAAGTAAAACACCTAGCATCTATGTAGTGGCACGTCCACTTTTGACCACTTAGTAAAGGCCGGTCTTCAGCCAGTAACAGAAGAGTGTTGGGAAGTGCTAAGATCTATTTCAATGTATTATTTGATACGAGTTGCCCCGATATCATGGCACTTGTAATTACACAAATCGCCGGTTGATAACAGTTCTTTTAGCTACATTTGGCAGAGGAGTCACGAGATTGAGGTTCCAAACGTCTGTGCTCGAGTGTAATAACTGTTGATCATATTCCATAGGGTGTAAAAGGATGAGACTGTGAAATTCCCACAACATGAAGACATTATTATAAACATCGCGTTTGTGAAGTGCAATGGCCAGTTCAGGTGAACAGCATTGCTTAAAGAAGATACATTATTGTTGTTATAAACGTGAGTGCCCTAAAAGTTCAGATTTACTGTTTCCACGATTGCGACCGAGTGAGGGTGATTTGATTGATATGTACGCTGTATTGGAACAGTGTGGTGTTTTATCATGCTTACTTGTTACCTATCTGTAAGACTGACCAAATTGGTTTATGGTGGTCATTTGTCAGTGTATAAATCTGGTTTATATAGAATGACATGAAATGAAAGGATATTGGTGCAAATACTGCTCAAGAGACAGGTTAGATCGCATCCTTACTGAGAAATGATGTCGGCTGTAGTAGTTGAGTGTTCAATAAAACATTAACCACATATGGGGTAAAGGAAGGTCCTGTTCATGTTAGTTGTTGAACGAGTTAAACCTCAGTTCTGTTGCTGCCAACAGCCCTTGTATCCATTGCGGCGACCATTTGTATATAGCTACCACTTTCACATGCCAATTTCGGCACTGTCATCATTTTCCATCCGGGCAATACACATGCAGCGGAGTGTTTGCCGGCAAAACTAACTAGACTATTAACGTATGCCTGTGATGTACGTTCGCCAATCACCTCATTTGTGTGTTCTGTTCACGTGAAACTGATCTGTAAGAGACGACATTGACTCTAAGATACACCTTTGATTTGATGATTAAAACAGTATCTTGGGCCTTAATTACATGTCTTCCATGAATTAACTCAGGAGCACTGCTGGAATACTGAAACGACTTACTCTCAAATCACGACAATACCATGGAAGAGACTTTTGTATGTGACGTATCGTGATAATACAACATCGATGTATACAACATTTTGTCATTGTCTCTTCCATGTCTACATACAAACCGATCACGAGGTATCATCAAGCCTGTCTCTGAATACAGATATTTCAAAACGTTCTTACTCAGAAGTATTTGGACCAGGCGATACACCAACATCGTCAGCCTATTTGTAGAAATGTACCAACACCTACACCTACACCTATCTATAGTTCCACCAGGAGGTACAGCTTTAGATTATTTTCTTCATGGTATCTGTTGTTATAAGTCAATCTTTGAATGTCGGAATGGTTCTTTATGCCTCACATAAGAGTGAGCCAGTGAGTCAGTCATGAGCATCTATATACAAAATTGGGAATATTTAAATCCGCATGGTATGAGTTATCTCACAACAAATGTATGTGTTCCTGATCGATTTGATCACCTTCAAGAATACTATCATGGGCCTACATCGTCTACAGCACTGTTCTGAATAGAAATCTAAAGGGCATCGAGGCACCAGACGGTTAATCAGTAACGTACGATCCGTCTTACTGTTAGAACAGGATATAGCATATATATCTCGACTTTTGCTGCAGTTGATAAAGAAGATTCAGTATTCATAATTACTGTGGTTAATCCAATATGTCTGCAAAATCGTTGAATCCTATACAATAGATTTAGCTACAGATTTGCATGAACACTGGCTGATGTCCTATCTGGTGAGGATGGCTTACATAATGTGCCGTGAGATACGTATGTCAATGTTGTGTTGAAACACCAAACAGCAGCTTCACTACCGTCTTTGGTGCGATGGAGGGTCACCATATATCTACTGAACCTGTTCTCTATGGTGCACTGAAGAAATTGTTCGCCTTCACCGTGCTGATTAAATGAACAGAAGGAGCATACCCTTTCATCAATATATTCTTTAAACCTATCAGGTGTCACGATTCTGATTGTGGTGGAATTTCATCCTGTTTCACTATAAACAATTTCGAATGATATTATACGTTTGAACGTTTTGGAATTGATCCGTAGTTTCAGCTTTAGCATCTGTGTTTTGATCATTACTGATCTGAACGATGTCTTTTCAGAGAAAATCAATAAATAGTCTCCAAAATTAAGCGAGAATTAACTTAAAATGGAAACAAATATATTTGTCATAGCTATATTCAATTAAATGGGTTATCCTGAACTATAATGCGTCACCTTAGGTCCGGGCGTAAATCTATTTCCACAATATCAACTCTGTAGAAGGATTTATTCAGAATGCATTATGTTTTTGTAATGCCAGACAGTGAATGAACACTGTTATACACAATGCCTGGCATTGCCTTCATATCGATTCAAGCAGTATGACGAAGTCACCTTCAGTAACAAAGAGCCAAGGAGGACTCAGTGTCCGGGTAAGGTCCATACTATGAGAAAGTATGCTGCCCTACTGTGTGTCAGGGACCGACCTGTGAAACCAAACCAAATTTCTTCGCTTCATAAAAAGTAAAAACTATTACTCACAAGATATTATTTTTCATAACATTCCACATCTCCAGCGAGCGAGATGATGTTTCATAGATGAATTGCCAGTGTACCATAGACAAAATCCTATTCATTTATTGACTTAGCAGCAAAAGAAACGTCAGTTGGAATTTTCCTTCGCAGAAACGGATAACTGTAAACTCATTTAATGTTTTGATTGTATATTTTTGACAACATCTCCAACTTTACCTGAGCAAAGACATTCCTTCCCAAACTCAGAATGGAACCCAGGAAATGGTCTCAAAAACGCAACCTGATCTCGGAGATGGTACGGTGTTCTTGACGGTTTTCATGCAACTCATGCTGCACGTGCTGTTCACAAGGACCCGCCCTATAAAATGCACCCCCAAACCTGGTTGAAACATTCACATTACAACGTCAGCAGGATGCCGCGACTCACGACAGCTCAGAGGAACCAGGCGCTAGGAAGACTTGAAGCTGGCCACACTGCACAAGCCGTTGCCAATCACTTCCAGGTCAACATTCGGACCATCTACAGGCTGCAGCAACGTTTCCGGGCCACCAACACCACAAATGATCTCCCACGTATTGGCAGACCAAAGGTGACCACAATACGATAATACCGCCATGTTGTGCGACAGCATGTACAGAATCCCATCATGCAGGCATCCGAAACAGCACGCCAGACAGTGGGAACACACGGAAGACCAATCAGTACTGATACAGTACGCCGACGTCTTAACAGCGGGAACCTCAATTGCCGTAGACCTGACCGTGGACCTATCCTCATCCCTCGTCATTGGCGCGAACGTCTACAGTTTGCCCTACAACACCCAAACTGGCGATACAGGCAATGGAGAACTGTTCTGTTCACAGATGAAAGTCGGTACTGCGTATCAACTGCAGATGGCGGAACAAGAATATGGCGATAACGTGGCCAGCGTTATTCAGACCATTGTGTTATGGAAAGAGACTCATGGGGAGGTGCAAGCATCATGGTATGGGATGGAATAGGCCTGAACCAGAGAGTGGGTCCTGTGGTGTTCCAGAATCGTGGTCCAGGGAGAGGAGGCTGTGTCACAGCGGTGCGCTACATCGACCAAGCTCTCAGACCCCACGTCATACCACATTTCGCACATCACCGGAACAACATTTTCCAGCATGATAACGCCCGGGCCCATACTGCCAGAGCTACACGGGACTTCCTACAGCAGAACGGTGTCAACATTATGCAGTGGCCAGCCCTTAGTCCTGATTTAAACTCAGTTGAACATCTTTGGGATGAAATTCAGAGGAGACTTAATAATGTCATACCAAGGCCGAACACAGCCGATTTATTGCGCCAGGCCTTTCTCAGAGTGTGGTTCCAGGTGCCAATGGCCTTCATCAATCGATTGGTACACTCCATGCATAGACGCTGTGCTGCAGTTATTGCCGCTCCTGGTGGTCACACTAGATACTGAAGTCAAGGGTCTGAATGGACTGTAAACATTCACGTATTGTCTTAAAATTGTGCTGAGTTATTCACTGATGTGTCAAAACTGTTTTTGATCCGCTTATTATGTTCATTTCTGTAATCATTGAAACAACATGGTGTGTTTAAAAAACGGTGGTGACACCTTGATAAACATCATCAACAAGGATGTGGCCACATCACTGATCCAACAATCTCTGCTTAGGGCAGAACACCTTGTACAGGAGCAAATGGAAGTCTTTGTGGACAAACGTCTGTGTGAGCCTGTTGATAGTGACCAGCACCTGGATCTGAAATCGCTTATTCAGAAGATTAAGGCCAAGACATTTGCCTCTTTGTATGACGTAGTGCAAACTTTCAAGGGAAAGCAAAGCACTATCAAAGTGGACCGGAATATTCTACAAAGGCTCATTACAGCCTATAAAGCAGGGCGTGAGGTAAAGCTGGAAAACATCCTACAGCAAGAACTCATGACCGTCCCACTATCACTGGCCACAGCTAGTGGTACCCTACATGCCACTAACAAGTCCAAACATCTGCTAACGTCACACTTGACGAGTCCAGCTGCCCGCCCATTGATGGCCAAGCCCTAGTGATGGCACTCAGAAAGCCGCCTGACATTAGAACGTCTGGTGACTACGCCAGAACCTTTGCAAACACCGTGTTTAAGATGGGGAAAATTATCACAGAGTTGACATAGTATTTTACATGTATCATGTTGATTCCATAAAAGCGGGGACAAGGACAAAACGCAAGCAGCGCCTATGACCGATACGTCGTCAAATAGCGTGTGGGTCAGTTCCTCTCCCACTCCCACGGGTCTAGATTTGTTGCACTGGATGAAAATAAATCAGATCTTGCTGTACTACTGTCAAATCATCATACTGAACACAGCCCAACATATAAACCTGTAGTTGTAGCAGGGGGGTTCACTGAGGCTACTACAGTCAGGTCGTCTGATCCAGAGCTTGAAGTCTCATCTCTGGGGGATGATCATGAAGAAGTGGACAATCGGCTGATTTTGCATTGCATCCATACTCAGATGAAGACGATTGCATGTCAGTGCGTGACACAGACGTGCTTCTCCTACTTCTGGCACACTATGACAAAATGAGATGCACACATCTCTACATGACAGCTGGGACATCGAAAGCTCCAAAGTATCTGGCAGTACACGAAATTCGCAGGCTTCTGTCTGCGGATCAGATTGATACACTACTTGCTTTCCATGCCATCACTGGGTGTGATGGTGTGTCTCAGTTCAATGGCCACAGTACGAAAACAGCATGGTGTTCCAGCAACACCACACTGATCTCACTGGACTTGGAAAGGACCCTTTCACGGAAAACCTAGCTAGATCAACAGAGAGGTTCATCTGTAAAATATATGGCGTGCCTGAGGTCGATACATGCAAAGCACGAGTTAAATCGTTTTGTCTTGGTCGTGTACAAGAGACTCTGCCATCAACCTCTGACGCAGCAAGATTCTACATCATGCGTTCACACTACCAAGCAAGTGTCTAGAACCAAGCACACTGCCAATATCCAGATATTCCTCCTGTGACTGACATTGGGTGGGTTCACCAAGACAGTCAGTTAGTGTCACGGATGGACTGCATCGAGGCTAGCAACTGCAGGAAACGTAACAGCTACTACCGTAACAAGAGATATGAATGGGATAAAGCAAATGCTTACAATTTTTACAGCAGACATCATTAAACAATTTGCATTCTTTCCATAACCGTGATTCCGCAAATAAACATATTGTTCTTAAAACACTTACCTTGAGTTGTGTCATTGTAAGTTGTAAGTGCCCTGTCATACTGAGTCAAAAGACAACTAAGAAGGACAGGGTTTTTGACCATCTGAATATTCATTGTTAAAAAATGATAGTTTTTGCAATATCTATGCAAATCAATCATTTTCTTCCAATGTCATCACAAAACAGTGTATTGCATTGTATTCCCCATATGAGAAAACATTCAAAAAATCATTTTTCAACTTTCTAACTTGATTAATGAAAGTGATATGCAAGTTTTCAGGTTTCAGTTTGGCGTTGGCGGCAATCTTGGATTTCTCAATTTTGAGGCATTTTGGGGCATTTTTGAGCTTGGCATACAGTATATTTGGATTCAGCACCCCTCAATACCCCTAAAAAGTGTGTATGCCAAAATTAACACTATTTGCCTTCAGCGCCTTAAAAAAGCACTTTTTTTTCCAAATGCTGCTTAGACTACTCGCCTAACCGAGTACCCTACTGGATATTGACAGCGCATTTCTTACCTGTTATAACATGAACATGTTACAGCGTACTCTGAAAAGACATTAGCTCTTCCACACAGACGTTTTTCAGTGACTGTATCCGTATGTTACGTTTTTTGGTATCGTCGTACATTTGGGTCAAATCCAATTTTTAATTGTAAAATTTCACTTGCAAAGATGAAACCTGATTGACGTTAAAATGTATCCTGCTTACAAAACGCGTATGAATACTTCATGATACAATTATTACCATCTTTTCACATTTTTCCCTTCATCAATATACAAACAATTATGATATACGAAAATATATCATTAAAATGAAATAACAAAATCTCACTCGAAAAAGACAAAACTCCCAGACTTGGATTCCAGACAAAATGGCACAATGGACATTGCTATAGGCCAGTCATGTCGTTGAGGCAATTGTCGTTACGTTTGTAACAATTCACATAGCCACTCGAACTCGTAGGTCTTATAGAGGCTGATATATAATCAATATATAATCATGCATAACTTCCATTGGCAAATTCTTTGGAAATATGGTGGATAATTGCTACTTCTGTAATCAAATAGCTCTGCAGAAAGAACGGCGTGTCCCCCGACACAGAGATTGTCTGTGACAGTAATTAGTGCATTAGTATCACGTTGAAAGATATAAATGATAAATGTCCTAGTCAACATGAATGTCACAGCCACTAATAACCGGGAATTAATGGTTCTGATCTGGTAGGAATACATGTCTTAACGGATCAGACATTTGATGTTTGATTTAAGGCGGGGGGTAACTTGGGCCAATTTGTTTATAGGCCCTTGCAACAGTGGCGAGTAAATTGTATCTTCACTCAGTCTCAGAACACTGCCTCTCAACACATACTACCGAGACAGACAGAATAAACACGCCAACCATATCCATATACAAAGTCAGGGCCCTATTGAAAGTGACGTTACTCGCAAAAGGCTCCCAAATTATTAATTAATTCACTCGGGACAGTACATACCTGCTCTAAGCAATAAGCTGACTAGACAGTGATATTTTGGTATACGTGTATGTCAACTATCTTCATCTGTTACGTCACGATGAAGTTCTCAGCATAGGTCATTCCACGACGGCCATCCCACAGTTCTGTGTAATAATTCTCTAAAACGTTTGCAGGCACATGAATAAGCTTTTTTACCACGCTGCCTAAAGAGAATATTACGATGTTTTACTTCTATCAAGGTACTGTGTCCACGTGTTCAAGGTACTGAATCCATGTATTCCAGCTTACACTCTACAAAATGTGCGCCCTGTATTTGTATGGAAGAGCTTACGTGTTTTCGGAGTAAGGTGTAACATGTTCGTGAGACTTAGGTTAAACACATGCTCTCAAAATCCAGTAGGGTGCACGGTTAGGTGAGGTGAAAAGTGATTTAATGCCGAGTCTACGTTCATGACGTTACTGTGTGTATACAGCTGCTTATACTGATACCGGTTTAATAGTGCCTTTTGAGGACAGCAAGCCGCAGATTACCAATTAACGTTGATGCCCCGCTCCGAATGCTATTTGGATTCCGCCATATCTAGCCTCAATATATATCGAGTGAGTGAGCGTTTCCTTGAAAGGAGTTCCCTAAAAGCATGGCTTAACTGCATTTATAAGTGACGTAGACTATTTGTGAAGGCTGATAGGCATTTTCAGATTACTCACTTCCTTGATTTGTTGATTGACGAAAGAACTGCGATTTTTTTTTTATTTCTTACGTCAGTTGTCCAAACAACGATTAGATCTGTATATCTCCTGGGGACATCTGCCCTGTGACAATCTGTGGTGTATGTTGTAGAAGTCAGATTAGTACAAAGCTGCTTCCAGCAGTATTTCAATCATGTTATTTCCTATCACGGAAAATATTTGATTTAGGTTTTGAGCCGTTTACCACCTTAACGAAAACAACCAAAGTGCGTTTGGTTACTGGAGAGCATAGAAATGTCACCAGCAACTACTGGGATTCCAAACTACTGTTATAGGCACGTCAAAAGTGACGCAATTCTATTCCCCAAATTTCAGCACCTTTTACGGCTCAGTGCCCCCATATGTATACTTCCTGAAGATGTTAAAATCCACCCGATCTTGTGCCCGATAGGGTAACTATGGCCAGTAGGGCTGGATATTGCCCCGATTTTCATATTGCGATATATTGCAATAATTCTAGAGATATTGCAATACATATTGTGATATAGTGACTGGAAGGTTTCTGTCCAAGTGCGTACATCATCAGTTCATAATAGCTCTCTGTTTACGACATCATCTTCTTAGTTGCTGTGACACCATACCTTCAGGCTCCCTGTCCCTATTGTGTATGGGTGTATGCCAGTGGTGTACAGTTAAATGATATAGAGCCTTAATGTGGAATGTTTCATTGAAGTAAGTGTATTGCAACAAAGTTTTGCGAACATAATGATAAAGGTAATAGTATAATATGATTTTCATGGTCAGTGTTGTTTGCTTCAAAAGAATGCACTTCTATGCAGTATGTAATTATTGTTACTATTTGTCAGTGATTCATTCAGATTCAACTCCAATATAATCATATGTTAACATGAACAGTTGTAAAATGAAACAAAAACATGATTTAAGTGAACTACTTGAGTTTAAAATCTCATGTGACCTCCAATAACTAAGATTCTTGACTAGAATGTCATTATGCAGTCCTACAAAACTGATAAATGTTGGGCTTTATCATAAATTGATAGCATATGTCCCATTATGAAACAAAACACAAATAACAAAATAATGTGATTTGCGAAATGGTTACTCAGAGCCAGTAGCTCTACTTATAAGTCCGAATAAAAGATTGGTCAAATCTTTGAAGCGCATTTAGAAGTAAAATGCATAAGAAAAGCAAGATTTATGGATGTCGACTTCGTTATTGTGAATATTCATGACCTGATGAAGGAGCAAGTATACACTCCGAAACGTCGTGTTATTCACAACAAAAGTTGACATCCATAACTCTTGCTTTTCTACAACGGTTGGTCCATATGAGGCCACTTAATTCCTCCGGCAAGTCACACATGAAACCATTCAAACCCCAAAACTTAAAGCATTTGGTAGAAATATTTGGCACTTTGGAGCCACTTATAAAGACACTTCCACTTGTAAAATGTTACATGAAACAGAAAAGAAACAAAGGTATATTTGGCACTTTTAGATCAAATTTTGTTGCTATGGAAATCAAGGGCAGATAATTCAAAGGGACCTAACTCTGGATGACCCAATATATTGCAGAATCTGAACCATATCGCGATATACTGTACCGGTATAAACCGGTTTACCGGTAATATTGCACAGCCCTAATGGCCAGTTCATAATAACTGTGGTAATATGACAGAATCGGGTTATGTTACAATATAGAGCTGCGTCAGGGATCATTTTTAACTCTGTTGAGTCAAATTTGGAAACGTCCTCCACATATCCACCGTAATGTTTTTGAAGGCTTTGAATGTCGTAAAGTTGATCGCCCCGTGTAGGTCTGGGTTAGAATTATCTTCAGTAAACCATGCTTATCGTAGGAGGCAAGTAACGGGATCGGATCGTCAGACTCATTGACTTGGTTGACACATGTCATCGTATCCAAAATGCATAGATCGATGCTCATGATGCTGATCACTTGAATGTCTGGTCCAAGCTCCAATATTAACGGACCGCAGCCATATAGCCGGAATATTGCTGTGTGCGGCGCTAAACAACCCAACCAACCAACCAAGAAAAGGAAATGTAACAATGAGGTTATTGTGTATCCTATTTGATTGCCTTCGGTACAGTCTGCATGATTATGACCTTTCGCAATACAGAAGGTGTAATACAAATAATACAATTCATCATGACATGAAGAGTGAGTGAGTGAGTTAACATTTTACATCGCATCGGCAATATTACAGCCATATAGCGATGAAAACAAGTTAATCAATTCAAATAGCTGTCGACCAAGGACAGTAAAACCAACTAGACTCATTACATGAAGAAATGATAGCGTGGGCATGTGACATACTCAAGTTGACATTGAACTCTGACATAAGGCTATGGGGATTCATCTGGCTTATAGGAGTCACGAAGTCTTTGCATTAGAGGAAGTTGTGATCACGTACAGGGAAAAACGCGATGCGCACATATTCCTCTGGAAAATGTCGATAACTGTCCAATATGACACAAAGGCTTTTTTTAAGAACATTTATTCTCTGTGGCGATTTTAAGGAACATTGTCGAGATTGTCAAATGGCTTTACACATTTCCATATCATCATGTCATTCCATTAACACAATTATTTCCTTGCGGTGGTTATCTTTATTAAGGGATTAATTCATTTTATGTCATGTTTAATATGAATAAAAACTTCTTAACTGCAAAGGAAACGGTGACCCCATATCTAGTTGCACGTGAGGTGCTTAGTGTCCCGAATAAGTCAGAAGAATCCGTTTGATGATTTATATGCCGATGGAAACAAATATGGGATCACATGAAAGCAAAGTGTTCCTTTTTTCCCAGGTTTCTTTACAAGTTGTGAGATACAAAGCTTGTAAAGAAATCTGGAAAAAATAAAGGAACACTTGTGCTTTCATTTGATCCCTTACATGTTTCCCTCAGTATATGTCCTAAAAGATTTATACATGCCCATCTTGCATCATATCGATCAAACCATGCTGAAGAAGAAGTGCCTCGACGGTTGTGGGTGTGTGCTTCGATCAGTTGACGTGCATGACACTTGCAACCTATGCGAAGATTCAAGCTTAGTTTATGACCTTGACTGGTCACAAAGGTTTTTGTACCTCGATGTTCTTCTGTGTCCATTCTTAATCAAACAATTTGCAATGACATGTGCAATCAGCGACGGATATCTGATCTCATTCGTCACCTGAACTGGTTACCAGTAACTAAATGCTTCACGTTTCATGTGTAATCTGTGACGGATAAGTTCAGATCTTGACATTAACTGGTAGGATATCTATTTGTACCTCCGAGGTGAGGTGGTATGCTTTAAGCCAAGCATATCCAGTAAATGTCGACTCTACGGCTTTTATTAATACTTCAACCACGATAAAGTGGTTAAATTTAGCAGGATCGTCATACTATAGATGTTTTATGTGGTATTTCACTTAATCAAAGCTTTTACAGTCTATCTTCGTGGAAACGAACCTGCACAGCATACTAGATGTGGCTTCTACATAACATCCTCCAAGAAAATGGCTGTGACATATTCTACAAGCAGTGTGTAACTATACCCATGTTGTACTTGGTGAGACCTGTACACGTCGTGATTAAGTGTGCACGTGATGGATTTAACAAATAATAGCTAAAATACTATAACCGTTCAAAAAAGGTTACTCATGGACAATTCCATCTTTCTGTGAATACGAACACCTTTGCACGAACACCCGGACAGCAAAGAAGCCCAATAATGAAGTAAAGCGCCCAGTGTCTATTAGTTAGGTCCAGTTTGACGACTTAACACAGGCTTCAGGCACTGACCACTTCCCAGCTAATGTCAATGGTGCTCGTACATATATATCTGTCCAATGAGCCTCCTTGTTTCTAATCTATTAGAATCCCTATCTCTACAAAAATGAGAAAATACCAACACGCCAAGCTTACTTGAATCGAAGTTTTATACGGTATGATAATGGGAGTTGGTGCAATATCTTGGGACTTATTATTGCACTAATCCCTGATTGATGGCAGTCCTTTTAGCTACAATGGCAGAGGAATCACCAGAATGAGGTTTCAAAACGACAACTCCAGAGAAAAATCACTCTCGATTGCCTACTGAAACAGATTCCACAGTGCATAAAGGGCAATTGTGATGGATGTGTACTATTTTACGTTGCTTGGCTGACTGCATTAATACCAAATGATAGACTTTGAAGTATCAATGACTTGAACAAAATGAGGATATCACATACACTCAGCTTACATTTGTAAAGTTCAGACGCTGTTTGACGTCAAAAGCATCGTTGAAACTCGATGCATTATTGTTGCATAAAACATGAGTCTGTTTTAAAACTATACAGAGTGTGGCCATGATTAATTGTTACTATAATTTTGTGTAATAGTGAGCATCCGATCACGTGATTGAGTTTAGTTTTACGCCGCATTCAGCAATATTCCAGCCATATGGCGACGGTCTGTAAATAATCCCGATCACGTTAACCAACTGGTGATCAATAATGGTTCATAAATTGTTACGATATGTGTACTAGTGACCATTCGATCACGCTAGTCGCACTGATTCATGGGGACCAATTACCAGTTTGTATATCTTGTTATACAGAATGACAATAATGAATGGAACGGTAACAACGCAAATAATACATACTGTTCACGGGATAGATTAAATCACATCATTTCTGACAAAGCATGTAGGATGTACTTCTAATAAGATCATTCACACGAGACATACAGAGTGAAGGTTCCACGATTTGAACCCAAGCAAAGGGCAGCCATTTACTTTAAGTTGAATTATACAAGGAAAAAGAATGTAACTATTATCGCTGTCCAAAGACGAACAAACGTGGAAGTAAAATAAAAACAATACAACCACAAGTTACTTCAGATCGCGATGTTAACCTGATACACTGCATGGAAGTCAATCTCACACCGTATTTTGCGTTTAGCATGATATTACTCTTGAGAGTGATTTCTGTGATGATGACACAGCGTCTTCGCTCATTTGAATGGCCGCGTTGTACCAAAATACGGTGCCTGTTGTTTTCCAGCTTGGCCATAGGCAGTAAAGGATAAAACAAGACACCTAGTCAGTATCAACAATCCAGTGATCAACAACAGAAGCATCGATCTACGCAATTAGGATACGATGACATGTGTCAACCAAGATAGCGAGCCTGACCACCCGATCCCGTTAGTCGCCTCTTACTGCAAGCATGGGTTACTGAAGATCAATTCTAGCCTGGTGTGGATGCTGTGTTGGAGCGGGCATCCATATTAATACCACGGTATCGTATGACATCAGTGGGGCAGCACTATAGAAACCAGTATAAGAACACGTACGCTCTGTAGGTACATCATATTGCAGTTTGATGCAGTGAGATTCATTTGCAAAGTATCAGTGATGCTGTAACATATGCGAGAGCAAAAATAGACGTGACTCACACAGACCCATTGGATGCATCATCGACAAACATTAACATCATCATTATCATCCTCATCATCATTATCATCATCGATGTACGATGACACACGAGCCTCCTCATTATATCCACCTTAACACACCAGTCTTAATATATCTTAATGCCTTCCTCTTCACAGAAAGTTCACAAACATTAACGTGAGCTATTAGAGCTGGCCTTATAAACCTTTTAAACACCAAAGGTAAATATTTAGAAACAGAATCTCATTCCTCACATTTCAAGCCTGCAATAATCAAGAGAGCGTATTCTTGTTTCTGTTCATAGTTTCCTATAATGATGATCTGAGTACATCAGCCTGTAGCAATATGTATTTTTAAAGCTGTGATGATAAACCTTTAATACCAATGTTAATTCCCAGAAAGGTTATTACCTTGACTGTGTTTAAGATCTGAATTAGACTGACATTCTTGTTTTTGCAGCTTCATTATATAGTACAATTTATGTGCCTTTGTGTGTGTATATCATCCTTAATGACGTTCATTGTCTTCTTCCTTTATCCCGATACAGCTGGAACATTGCTGAGTGCAGCGTTAAACAACAAACCAACCAAACCAGTCTTCTTGCTCTCTTGTCCCTTATCTTTCTTCTTTTCCTTCAGCATACCCTTCTCTCTTCCACAAGTACATCATATTTGGGAGATTTTCTTCCAAGGATGTCCATTTGGATGGCATCAATGGGAAGGCGTATCTACGTTTGCCTGTGCTTTCCCCTAATTACAAATCCATATTACCCATTACGCCATTCATTAATACAGCTTTGTAATACTACGATCTAGATTGATGTGCTGATCTCCTACACGGGGTGGCCTACAAAAAGTGAATGATTGTTGCTGAAGGCAGAGCCAGCAATAGTTTAGCTTCAGCTGTTTAATCTGAATTAATACATCAAACTGAGGGAAAATATTTCATGCCCGTTTCATGCAGAATTACAGTACGATAATGTTATTGTGAAATCAAGCCAGTTCAGAAGTAAACTGCGTTTTAAACCATCTTTGTCATTTATGTTTGGCATGTCTTGGTAAAATACTCCTTAAATATTCAGAGGAAGAGTGAGTGGGTGATTTCAGTTTTACGCTTTAAGCAGAATTCCAGCAATGACATTGCGAAGGACGCCAGAAATGGGCTTCACACATTGTGCTCATGTGGGGAATCAAACCCGGGTCTTCGAGCAGACGCTTTACACCCTAGGCTACCCGATCACCGCTTCAGTGGAATTGTAGCTGACCAGCCTGAAATATTATACAGAAATTTTATGTTACTATTGCAAGCAATACTATGTATGTATGTAAATATATTTACTAATACGTGGTTGTGTATTTGGGTTCGAGAGTATTGAGTACAGATGAACTTGAGTCCGTGCAGTAAGTCATGTGACGGGTGTGCTATAGAAGGGTGTATTGCACGTGCATCAGGCACTTGAGATTCACGACTGACGGGGCAGGTCTGCCCGGTGAAACTTACATCAGTGATTCGTAAACAGCAGAACTGTATTCATGTTGAAATTTGGTCACTGGACCTCCCATGTACTAGGTCACTGAACCTCCCATGTACTAGGTCACTGGACCTCCCATGTACTAGGTCACTGGACCTCCCATGTATTAGGTCACTGGACCTCCCATGTATTAGGTCACTGGACCTCCCATGTACTAGGTCACTGGACCTCCCATGTACTAGGTCACTGGACCTCCCATGTACTAGGTCACTGAATCCCCTATGTACTAGGTCACTGGACCCCCTATGTCCTAGGTCACTGGACCTGCCATGTACTAGGTCACTGGACATGCCATGTACTAGGTCACTTGACCCCCTATGTACTAGGTCACTGGACCTCCCATGTACTAGGTCACTGGACCTCCCATGTACTAGGTCACTGGACCACCCATGTATTAGGTCACTGGACCTCCCATGTATTAGGTCACTGGACCTCCCATTTATTAGTTCACTGGACCTCCCCTGTACTAGTTCACTGGACCTCCCATGTACTCGGTCACTGGACCAATCTTAAGATTCATGAAAATGAAAAATCAGTTGAAGATGATTTTGTGATTCAAAATGCAAGACGGTATAATAATTTATGAATATCGAATATTTTACAATGTATTAAGTTTTCCAAGTTTCTCGGAAATTTCTACTGGAGCACATGGACAGATCTGGAAACCAGAAAACACAGTACTGAGGAGACTTTCGAATGGGTTCCAAACGTGGATGCTCTTTGTAAAATTGTAGTCAATGTATCTCAATCAATATGCAACCCCATCAGGCCGACGTGAACGTCCCCAAATACAGAGTTTTATGTACGGTTGAGTTTACGAATTAGAACATAAGGAATAACAACAAAAGGCGAATTGACGTATGGTATTATTGCCAATGTTTCGGGTGTTAATACCCAAATGAAATAGTTGGCAAGTCCGTTTGGTACGCCAAACAATAGAAAATATGCTTATTCCAACAAATCATTACAGTAAATTACTATAGTTTCATGGATTACAAAAGCAAGTGTCTTCATTTTCGTTTGTCGGAGTCAACAGCCTACATATCGATTGCTACAGTAATCCGCACATAGCTAATACTAAGACATCCCAATTTCAGCACTGTCCTCATCATTCATCTGGGCAATTGTCGAGGAGTGTTTGCCCTCAATGCTGTTAATCAGCCGAATAACGCCTGCACTTGGTCAGCATGCACCGATCAATGCAGTCCTGTGTTCTCCTCACTTGAAATTGACCAGTAAGAGACAACACTGATTAAAAGAGACACCTATGTCGGGGATAATGACCCATTATCCTAGGCGTTAATTTTATGTGTCCCATGCACTCACTGTCAGGAGCACTACTGAAGTATTGAACGGATTCACCCTTAAGTGTGGCAAGACCACAGAATACCGTTCCATTGTCTATTGAAGTATCGCGAGAACAATATACCGATAAACTTGTGTCATGTTATGAGTGAGTTTATCAGTGAGTGAATGAGATTGGTTTTACGCCGCTTTCAGAATAATCCAACAATAGCACGGCGGGGAACACCAGAAATGGGTTTTTACAAATTGCATCCTTGTGGGGAATCAAACCTGGTCTTCGGTATGACGAGCGAAAGCGGTAACCACTAGGCTACCCAACCAAACCTTTCCGCAATAGACAGATGGTCATCCCGAGAACACTTACACAGTCAGTGATCTAGTTATCAAAGTGCACAGCGGAGTTATTTATAACGAACGGAAAGGATGTCTGTTATGCCAGCTATACTCTTTCAAACAGGAAACGCATAGATGTTTGTTCCCAGCGTTATTCTGATGACTGTAAAATGAGATAACACATGTAATTCTGGATCAGTTGCAGCCAAATTTCACAGGATATAGATCAAATGTCCGTTAACACGTATAGCTTATGAATAGGTCAATAATTGAAGATGGCCGTTTCCAGTAATGTGAGTTGGGAGTTGTTTTCATTGTGTTATGTGGCCACCTTGTATCCCCAGAACAGTTATTCACCGTTTCGGCATGAACTGAGGTCTTTAGTCGACCTGGAGACATTCTGGCCCATTCCTCTTGCAATGCCTACGACACTTGATCTAATGTCTGGGGTGCCGGTTGACGTTCACGACTTGAGTGGTTGAAGGTCGGGCATTTTGGGAGGCCCTGGAAGCGTGATGATGTTCTCATTCTGAAAATACTAAACAGTGGCATGTGCTTTGTAAAGCCTGGCACTAACGTGCTGGAACAACTGCCTCTAGCGGTCAGTGATCGGAAACATGTAATTGCTTAAGATTTCGCCTCTGTAACAAATAGCCGATAAATTGCCCTGAAGGCGCACAAAGTTAGATTTTCTGCTCGAAGTCTAGCTTCTCGTAACGGGTTTGCGCCGACACTCCTCAAACCAGGCACTGCACTTGCAGTTCCAGTTGCTGTGATAGTTCCTGCGCTGTCGTGGTACTCCGAGGTCTTGCGTAAATTTGGTTTGTTGATATCCGGTTGTTGGTTGTCATCCCTCGACTAACGGCCGATTGACCAAAAAACAAAGGACGTTAAGGATTGTCAGCGTTCAGGTCAACAACGAGTAACAACCCCTTGTGAAGATACAATCTTTCCTACAAGACTTTATCCGTCCGTGCCATGTGGCCTCCAGATCACCGTTTGTCCAGAACGGTCCGCTATCGCCTAAAATCAGCCTGGTATAGAGCAAGACGAACTGCACGATATCCGTTGCCATCCCGAAAGCACAAATCAGCACGACTAGCTGGTGTCAAACTCGACGGCACTGGAATTTGACGTTCGTCAGCTGGTCTGTTTCGATTTCCTTTATTCATGACTGATGACCGAGCTCTTGACGCAGCAGGAACACTGCATATGAATCAAATATTTCTTTGAGGATCAATTTATCCAGATAATAAGTTACATTGGTGTTTTGAAAAGGTCCTTTTGTTATGATTGATTTTAACATATTGATACAATGAAAAATATGGCGTGTTGCGATACATTTCCCCATATGTAAACAGTCTACAGTTGGAAAAAGACTGCCAATATAGCCGAGCATGCTGCTTTGTAGCTTACCTGAGTTCCATCACAAGAATTTGTTATTGAGCAGTCTTTTTCATGTACATCTCCGAACATTTGTTTGCTTGTTTGTTGTTTAACAACACATTCTTGCTATCTAGTGATCACCAGCATGATATCCAACTACGCACTGGGATACGATGACACGTGTCAACCAAGTCAGCGAGTCTGACCACCTGATCCCGTTAGTCGCCTCTTACGACAAGCATGGGTTACTGAAGATCAATTCAAACCCGGTCTTCACGGGTGAGGTTCCGGAACTAAGAACTGCACACTCAGCAATGTGACTACAATGTGCATGATTATAAATGTATTTTATACTTTTATAGATGTTAAGTAGAGATGTCCTTTAACCATGGTTCAAATCCCATGCCTACCTTGGCTATGATCGTTATAGATTTTAGCACCATACCATACAACACATGTCGGTTTGTAAAGTGTCACGTCACATGCGCACGCACTTTGTATAATCAAAACACAACGTAAATACGTTGTAACGTAAATACAAAGTAATAAATATGAGGTCTGTTCAATTCAGCTTTCAGCTAATACCACCTTTTTCTGCAAAAATATCCGTTGGTGAGCCCACATGAGATTATTGTTTGTCAGGATCTTTTAACTACTTAATTAAACTTAAATGTTAGATAAATCGATTTCGTTTACATCATATAGCATGCTGAATAGGTGACAAATAGTAATAACATTTCTACTGACATGATAGACTAGATTAGCAGCTGACTAAAGCAGATTAGATTATTGAAATTTCGGTTAACTTAAGAGACGCTATGCTAGCGTTTTGGATTGAAATTAAATGAGTGTGTATCAAAAAGCCAACTCCTGGTCCTTGGTGTCCCTAAAACCAACGTCAGGATAAGCACTGTACATTTACCAGGTGACAACTCCAGGAACCAGCCCACCCACTCACCGGGGGGCAAGACGTAAAGGTCTCCATGCTGACGAAGAGAGCCCATTGATGCTGCTTTGTAAGCCTTTAAGACGGAAGTGCCAACCACATGTCTCAGAAAATTTCAGCCTCCAACTTAAAAACACTTACATACAGGAGCGACCCTGAATAAGTGTTCTTATGTCCTGAAGGGACCAGTCACCTGTGCGTTGTATCTTGCAGGGGGAAAGGATAAGGGTTCTTGTGTCATTCAAGGACAACAGCATATGATGCAGTGGGCCATGGGTAAGGCTTCGGGGTCCACCAGCATGCCTTATTAGCCAGGGGCCTATAACATCTGACCTTTTGGGGCTTGACCATCGTGAGATCATATATATGTTACATCAGTACAATATTTAGGATGTATTACTGTTATCAAGCACTACCGTCAAGTATATAATTTTGTTCATTTTTATTTATTATATAACAATCTCTCTAAATCTGGTTGTTTGTTGCAAAATTTAGAACTCTGACATCCTGATGAGTATCCACCGTGGTAAAATGTCGGCGTATTGGGAATGGGACACAGTTGCTTTTGTTGGGAGATGAAAAATAATCTTTGACAGAAATACAACGGCTTTGTTTGTCATGCAATGGTTCCTGAAAAGGGCTACGTTGTGTGATAAACATTATGATCATATCGCTTGTCTCTTTAACATATATTTCAGTCGTAGGTTTTGATTAATACCTTTGGGGAGTGAAAGGGATGTGGATTATCAGGTTTTTGTTGATAGTCTTAGGTGGCATCTTTGGGGTTTATCTGTGGAAAGTGTAATAATGCAAACATTGCGGGGAGAAAGGCAAATCGTAGTGCAGCTCCACGTATAGCATTTTGAAACTGTCTGAAGCGTGAACATCTAAAAGGAATCGCGTGGTGTGAATTTCGTTTTAACCCAAGGACAGACTTTCCCAACGGGAATATCCTTAGAATGTCCACTTCCGCCCCTGGGAATGCTGAAATCAATCATATCAAAGTCCGGAATCATTATCAAGGTTATATCTTGAATCACATGTCTATTTTCTTTCATAAAAAGATATTATTATTGTAAAGGTCGCATCTCATTCAAGTCAGGAAAGGGTCAGTTGTCTAAGATGCTTCACACATTCACTAAAGTGCCCTTTCCTGTTGACAGTGCCATGTATGTTGTAGTTTGAATACATGTCTGACTACCTGAGGTAATGGCTGCAAAGGGACAACGTGCAGTGTTTCTCGTCTCAAATATATACTAAGCAGCAAAAGAAAGGTCAGTTTGGAATTTTCCTTCGCAGAAACTGATAACTGTAAACTCATTTAATGTCTTGATTGTATATTTTTGACAACATCTCCAACTTTACCTGAGCAAAGACATTCCTTCCAAAACTCAGAATGGAACCCAGGAAATGGTCTCAAATACGCAACCTGATCTCGTTGATGGTACGGTGTTCTCCATGTTTTTCATGCAACTCATGCCGCACGTGCTGTTTACAAGGACCCGCCCTATAAAATGCACCCCCAAACCTGGTTGAAACATTCACATTACAACGTCATCAGGATGCCGTGACTCACGACAGTTGAGAGGAACCAGGCGCTAGGAAGACATGAAGCTGGCCACACTGCACAAGCCGTTGCCAATCACTTCCAGGTCAACGTTCGGACCATTTACATACTGCAGCAACGTTTCCGGACCACAAACACCACAAACGATCGCCCCGTATGGCAGACCAAGGGTGACCATAAGCCGACAAGACCGCCATATTGTGCGACAGCATGTACAGAATCCCTTCATGCAGGCACCCGAAACAGTACGCCAGACAGTGGGAACACACGGAAGACCAATCAGTACTGATACAGTACGCCGACGTCTTAAAAGCGGGAACCTCCATTGCCGTAGACCTTACCGTGGACCTAGCCTCACCCCTCGGCATTGGCGTGAACGTCTACAGTTTGCCCTACAACACCAAAACTTGCGATACAGGCAATGAAGAACTGTTCTGTTCACAGATGAGAGTCGGTACTGCGTATCAACTGCAGATGGCAGAACAAGAATATGGCGATGACGTGGCCAGCTTTACTCAGACCAATGTGTTATGGTAAAGATACTCATGGGGAGGTGCAAGCATCATGGTATGGGGTGGCATAGGCCTGAACAAGAGAGTGGGTCATGTGGTGTACCAGAACCTTGGTCTAGAGAGAGTAGGCGGCATCACAGCGGTGCGCTACGTCGACCAAGCTTTCAGACCCACATTTCGGACGTCACCGGAACAATATTTTCCAGCATGATAACGCCCGGCCCCATACTACCAGAGCTACACGGGACTTCCTACAGCAGAACGGTGTCAACATTATGCAGTGGCCAGCCCTTAGTCCTGATTTAAACCCAATTGAACATCTTTGGGATGAAATTCAGAGGAGACTGAATAATGTCATACCAAGGCCGAACACAGCCGATTTATTGCGCCAGGCCTTTCCCAGAGTGTGGTTCCAGGTGCCAATGGCCTTCATCAATCGATTGGTGCACTCCATGCATAGACGCTGTGCTGCAGTTATTGCCGCTCGTGGTGGTCACACTAGATATTGAAGTCAAGGGTCTGTATGGACAAGACAAACGATCACGTAATGTCTTGAAATTGTGCTGAATTATTCACTGATGTGTCAAGATATTGTACACAAAAAATGTTTTTGATCCGCTTATTATGTCTATTTCTGTAATGATTTGATTACGGTGCTTATCTAGTTTTGAATTCGTACTGACGGGTTGTTTTGCCGATGAGTATACTTTAACGATTGTCTTATCTGAACAAAAGAGCAGCTTCATTTTTATTTCAGGGCTTACATGCTTAACAGAGATTATGTAATGTCAAAACAACATCTGATGGTAAACAGTATCGGACACAAATCCATTAATTCCATGCTCATGTTCGTTGTTGTATTATCAAACATCACATGTCAGACCAATCGGAACAAGGTATCAACCCCGTTGGGATTCCGAGACGAAAGAGGTTTTAGAACCTGTAACAATAATCTACCGGTCGGACTTGGGAGATGAACAAAAAGTACCTTTAACTGACAATGTGTCCACTTTGTAAACTATCTGACGGAGGTGATTAACTCCATTACTTCTTTATTTGTACATGTTTAGAAACGAAATAAAACTTGAACACAGAATATACTACACTGAACCGGTAACAGTTCTTGGTTAAGGGTATAAAACGTATTTCGTTTATCTATTCGGTGTTCCATACTTTTCATGATAAAAGACAGAATAGAATTCATAAAGTTTTATGGATTTACTACTGAGAACCGTTGTCGTTGGCCTCATAAAACACACTTTACGGGTTCATTAGCACATCACACATCACACTGTTCAACCTGACAAGTTCAGTGGGTGTCGCTATCGCACATTTCTGACACACGGCTCTGCATCGCATCATTCGTTTAAAAGGAAGGGACATAACTCGTCCTCGCATACCGCTAATAATATAATACACATTGTAATATATTAACACTAAAAAAAATATGACAGTATGTATAACGATCCACGATAACGCTATGAATACGTTTGTTTACACCTATAAAGTAATGGATTCCAAGTATATTGTTATCCTAGTGAATGTGTATATATATATATGGACGAATGTTCGGCAAGGACGTTTTTATCTATCTTATACCTATATGGGATACGTTGTTGAATGTTGTTGATTCCTTGTACTTCTGATGCTACTGATAGGTGTGTCAATATATGTTAAGGTCAGTGATGAAGTTTGCAACAACGTAGACGGCTGATATGCGGATAAGGTAACATCTTCAGATTTGACTCCACGCTGACAATATTATCAAACGTTACGTTCGAAGCAACTATCCACTTTGACTACTTGTACCATAAAATTATATTCCCGTGTCTTTTTCGGGTTTTGATTATTGTGTTTCTCACCTATTTTCGCGAACACTCGTATCCTCACCATTCGTCAGTGATTCATACATATCATCTATTCAGATTATGCCATGGAGGATGTGTATTTTCTGCTTATTCTTGTGAATTTTATGAATTTGGTGCTTTTTCCCAAGTAACGTTTGATGGATACATTCATGGTGGTAACACTGAACGAGTTGCAGTTCAACTTTAGACCCGCACAGAACACCAACTGAACATATAAGATTATTTAATACTTTCAGTTTCATTTGGTACCAGGAACAAAACATCATCATGATGAGAGGAAATCGTCATTTAGCAATATTATTACATTTATAGATATTTTACGCTTTACTGAAGCTATCTATATTAAGTAAGTCTGCATAAGGGGGCGGTTGGGTAGCCTAGTGGTTAAAGCGTTGGCTCGTCACGCCGAAGACCCGGGTTCGAATCCCCATAATGGGTACAATGTGTGAAGCCCATTTCTGGTGTCCCCCGCCGTGATATTGCTGGAATATTGCTAAAAGCGGCGTAAAACCAAAGACAGTCAGTCAGTCAATCTGCATAAAGTCACGTCTGCACAAATCAACCCAATGGTTGACATCATGTACGTGTATAGACGAAACTGAAATTAGATTACATGCATCGCCTTGGGTTTGGTGTTTGTCGATCACGTTTGTCTCATCTTGGGTTGCTGAAGACCTAGTCTAACTCTGATATTCATGCGGGCTTAACAAATGTGAAAGTAGCGTTTCAATTAATGGTTTCCCTGACATGTTCGAAAAACGAATCCAAAACATTTACACCCCAATGGGTCAACTATAAAATTCTCCATTTAACAAGTTCAGCAGAGTCCAAAACTACTTACGTGAACAGCTCCGTGAAATCGTTCATTCAGATGTGTGGCTCATGTTTTTGAAGTAACGATTAATCGTTTTACTTCAAACCCACACAAAACCTAAACCAACATTAAACAAACACTAGTTGATAAACTCTTTTCCTATTAATCCCTAACACCAAAAAGCTGTATCCGCTCTTTGAGTGTCCGTCTCGTTTTATTACAAATAAGAGATTTTATGTTTGCTTGAAAAAGTAAATCGCATCTCGTTAAGAACAATCAGTTGTCTGTAACCGCGCTGACTCTACCTATCTCCATCATCGTGACAGGATATAATGGCTGAAAGGTTCACATCTCGAGAGAATTACGTTAGCTTGCTCTAAATCATTGCGGAAACAGTCACCTACGGATGGAGCTCGGGCATCGAGAAACTAACGATCTACGGTAAACCAATCAAATGAATCCACATTGGAGTGTGGGCCAGTGAGAGAAATTACAGGAAGATAATGCTTTAAGCGTGATGGCAGAATCCGCCCAAATGGCTCTACACTTTTATGTCCAACGCTGCTGGACGTTACACAGGGAAATATGCTGTTTGTAGTTGAACGCATGTGTGGTCGTGCCTGAAAGTGCAGCTGTGCCTTGTTTTCGTCTCAAAGGAAATCGATTGATTATCTTTATCTGGACCTGCTATAAATATTTGGAATGCTTTTGAACAATTGACAAGGTTATCCTTATAAAGAATGAAGCAGTGTCACTCATATTGACCCATCGCATCAGTGGAAGGGATAACTGCCGCAAATTGGACGGCTCCAGCATCAAACTACAAGAGCAGGTGAAAAGTCAAAGCCTACACGAAAATCGGAGTATTGTTGTTCTGGTTTTTGCTTCCTTGCTTCGGATTGTATGGTGTGGAGGTAATCGTATATATCCTGGTGGATGTACATAGTTTACTTTGAAGAGGTATGTAACAATACTTTCTAAATAACAGTACATTCATACATTATCATCCCTTGTATATCATTATAGCATAGACGCGTATGAACAGTCCTTGAAAAACCTATTAATTTGGTGTAGAATAAAACATGTCCCCAAACTTAAACACATGATTAGGAACATTGTCCTGGTGTAATGGGTTTTCTCTGACGCACAGTGTCACTTTTTTCACTCAGTGAAAATGATATAGTTCATATAATGTTTCTTTAACAGTACAACGTGAAAAATACATTTTTCATGAAATGACTGACAAATATCATTTCGTTACACCGCCTTAGGACTGGAATATTGCTGTTTGTGGCGTTAAACAACTAACAAAATATGATAAATGCAGGTATGTGTCACCCGTCTCCGTTTAAAATAATACATGCAGGTCACGACTCGGCAGTGTACATGTATGCTTCTAGACAGATCAATATTTTCGCCATATAGAATAGCTAATATATCTTTGTACGTATTGCTCAACACAACCATCATATTTGGATCATTTCCTCCTCTAGGGCAGAGTAGCATATAGACCAAAGGCAAAAGACAGACTCAAATTGAGTGTGCTTTCCCCATTAGACAGAAACACATGTATATTACTTCTTGAGACATGTTTTCGTCTCATATGGGGAATATATATTTAGCATATATAGCTGATATCCTGAAGTTTACCCTTCGTAAACAAAACAGTGTATTATCAGAGTTTTAGTTTAACCGCTTTATTCTCCAACGCCTTCTTTGGGTAAATGTGTTATTGATTGGTGGTACCTTGGGTTTATGCAATATATACTGATAAGTTTCCGTGATATTTTACATATTGTTTTAAGAAGGGGACTAAAACTAAGACCGGGGCTATAAATGTTGAACCACTTGCTTCTAAATTGACATTCTTGGTGAAGTTATCCTCAGACTGGATTCATTTTCCTCAAGCAATTTCACATTGATCTTGCATATCACCAAGTACTGGCGGGAGCTGAATATCATAGGCTGTTATTCGTGATTGAATTTCTAAACCCCCACCTCTAAAACCTCATTTTTAACTTCACGATGTCTATTAAACGCGGGTTTTACAGCAGGAAGAGCTATATATCCCGTTCAATGCTATTCAACTTTTATACACTACCGGTGTTTGCTCTCAATGAGCAGTGCTCATCGTGTATCCGTCCATGTGATGGGTGCCTTAGGCACTGCACAACAGCTGCGTCTACAGATTTTTACCATATTAACGTCATAGCTCGTTGGTTTGATAGTTTCGCTTAAATCTGTCTGCGGATCTGGTTTTCATCATCTCTGGATGACATTTATGTGAATGGTTCCTGAGGCATCCTCAGTTGGCTTGTTATAACTGCTTTTTAGCATTTGCGTTCTTGCAGCACTGACAATAATTTTGACACAAAATAAGAAACACTGAAATTTGTTACCTTTTAGTTCCATATATGGTCTTTTACGTACACGCATTAACAGTTTTATGAAAAAGTTGTCGTAAAATCGTCAGATCTTCTTATATTTTCACTCACGTCACACAAAATGAACCTCATATAATTGGCACTAGTTTTTCTGACATCTTATTTCAAAATATTCTCACATTGTTGATACCAGTTAATGCACGTCTTTGCTCATAACTGTCATGACGTGGTTACGACGCATGAGTAGCCAAATAGCTGTTGTGACGGTTTAATTTTTCTGCATGCCGAAATTGGTGGGGGTTCGGATCCAATTATCGAACTCGTAAAGATCTGGGTGAGAATTGGTCTTCAGCAACCCTTGCTTGTCTTAAGAGGCGTCTAACGGGATCGGGTGATCAGGCTGACTGAATTTGTTGACACATGTCATCGTATCCCAGTTGCGTAGATCGATGCTCATATTGTTGATCACTGTTTTTTGTGATCCAGACTGTTCTATTTACAGACTGCCATATAGCAGGAATATTGCTGAATGCGGTGTTAAGTAAAAAACAAACCAAGTTTCGACATTTCTATGATTCATACATTGACGGCATCATTCAGGTTTCCCTGAATCAGACTGAGATATAACTGAAATATTATTCTAAGACGCTTTAACATCAACAGTTAACTCCAACAATATCGTATTTACGTTTTTCCATTATTGATACCACTTGTTTTCACAGTGCCATACGTCGCGTTGTTTACCAGTTCTCGAATCATAGCTAACAAATATATCCCCACTCGATGATTCCAGCTAATCTCACACTTTGCTCCAGCTCTTATACCTTTGTTGGTACATTTTCACCCGTTGGTGACATTTTTACAACGTTGTTTCTAGTAGTTGGCTCTGGTGGTTTCTCACATAGTTGCAGTTGTTCTTTGGCTTTCTCAGGATGGCTAATTGCAGTGGTTCTCAATTAGTTGGTATTAGTTATTGTCAGATAATTGATTCAAGTCGTTGGCATACGTTATTCTCACATGGTTGATTCCAGTTTTAAGGCTGTTGACATTAGTTACGGCCATTGTGTTTGAATGCAGTTGTTCGTAATAATTGGCATAAAGTATTGTCACATGCCTGAAGCTGTTCTTAAGTTATTGGCATTAGCTGTTTTGACAGGCTTCATTCCAGTCGTTCTGTAGTCTGGGTATTGTTTTGAAGTTATTTTCCCATGCTTGTATACAGTTCTTCCAAACCTACTGGTATAATTATTATCACATCGTTAGTGCAGTTGCAGTTGGCATTATATATTTTCAAGTGATTCAGAAGTTGTTATTCTGTCATGTTTCATTCCATTTGTTTTAAAGGCGTTGACATTACATATTATCATATAGTTGATTATAGATGTTCTGAGAGTGTTCGCATTATTTACTCTCACATAGTTGATTCCAGTTGTTCCTATCTCGTTGACGTTAGTTATTCTCACATAGTTGAATCAGGTTCTGAAGTCGTTAGCATTACTTATTTTCACGTAGTTGATTTCATTTGTTGTAAAATCGTTTGCAATAGTTATTCACAATGCAACTATTTGATTCCAGTCCCAGTCTCAAGTCAATTCCAATTCTGAAGTCGTTTACTTAAGTTATATCCACATGGTTAATTGTAGTTTATATTAACTCGTTTTCATTAGTTTTTCTCACATGGTTGATTCCAGTTGCTATGGCGTTTGATTCGTTATTCTCACATAGTTGATTATAGTTCTAAAGTCATTGGCACTGGTTATTCTCGCGTAGTTGATTACAGTTGGTCTCGATGGCATTAGTTATTCTCACACAGTTGATTGCAGGTTTCTTTAGTCGTTGGCATTAGTTATTCTCACATGGTTCATTCCAGTAGTTTTTATTGTGTTGGTATTAGTTATTCTCATCTAATTGATACCAACTGTTCTAAAATCGTTGGCATTAGTTACTCTCACACAGTCAATTCCAGTTCAAAAGTAGTTGGCATTAGTTATTCTCACATGGTTCATTCCAGTAGTTTTTATTGTGTTGGTATTAGTTATTCTCATCTAATTGATACCAACTGTTCTAAAATCGTTGGCATTAGTCATTCTCTCACAGCCAATTCCAGTTCAAAAGTAGTTGGCATTAGTTATCCTCACATGGTTCGTTGCAGTTGTTCGAAAAATCGTTATCGTTGATCATTCACACATGGATTGTTCCAGTCCTTAACTCGTGGGTATTATTTATCCTGACGTTATTAACACAATGCCTCCCGACAACATTGGTGTTATTGCGTCGTCCATCCCAGGGAAGAGATAGTCTTGCATTGTTAGCAGGTTCAGCATTCCACATGATGATTAGAGATGAGTCAGCTCTTGCGAACACAAGAAATGTTTATGGAATCTTCCCTCTTGTAGTCCTCGTACAACCAAGCTATTCCCCTAAACTGACCAGTTCAATATTGCTAGAGAAACGTTTAGTTACGAGTTGGTCCTACGTTATTGCTCTCAGTGATTGCTCCCTCAGAGTGGTGTTTCCAATAAATGCATAAACGGTAGGTCGCTTCTACAGAACGTTAAAACATATATACATATGCTTGACACGACTGGGTATTTATTTGACATTGCAGCACAAAACTTGTCGCATTGGACGTAAACCTCCAACGGTTTATGACCTAGGGGCAAGGGTGCAGTCTGAAATATTGCATTTATGTCAAACCTGATTTGATATATCGATGAAGGGCATAAGTTCCGACAAGTTAGTGTGTACATGTGTCAAAATATTTCTGATACATCGCCCTGCGATATAAGTGCAGTTTTTTCAAAGGGTCGAAACCCGAAACCCGGATGTATGATTTGCATAAACACGACGTGCATCCAGGAACCACGAAACCCTGTTAGTACGGAGGAATCGTCAACCTGATTAACATATTTCCGGATCAGCAAGTTGTTATTGTACACAAATGTTGCCAACGGCAGTCATCTGGACTACCGGTTTTATCAGGGATTAATGTGACCCGGGCGTACCGGGTTTCACGTTAAAAGAGGACTGCGCGCATCTTCTTTTACAGAAGGTGCTTGTGCATTGAAACCTAGTGCAACATCCGATGTACGTGCAGGAAATAATGGGCTGGCTTTACATGAGAAGCTTTAGTGAATAACCAGATTACGTTTGCGTTGATATTGTTGATATATTATCCCTACAGCAGACACTGCCCTGGGCATCAACTTAACATTGCTTTAGAGCTCTTTATCGACACTATGCATCACGAACAGCAGGGTCCCCTTCCACAAAGTGATTGTAGCGCTAAGACGGTCGCAACATACGTATACATAAGCTTACAAAAGTCTAAACGCTAAGGTCACTTTAAGAAAACGGGTCTTGTGTCTAATAACATCGGTTTAAACTTCGGGTCATTTCGTTTATTTCTTCCCACAGCAAGGAACAGATGGCGGACATTCACCTGGCAAAAAAGTGGATTACCTGAGAAACCAACGTTTATTGACCTGCTAATTTTAGCGCCGCATACTTCCCATCAAGTTAATGGCTACAACCTGTGCGACGGGGCCTTACTTCCTCAGTTAAAACGTTTATGGGCCATTAATTTATTATATTCCCGCAAATGTTGTAACCCTGGAGAGATTTGTTACAAATAGCCTGACCTTGTTTACAGTAAAATTACCTTTCCAATCGATTTTATTTGTCTCGTTACAAGCTGATAGTCGTCACCCATTGTGCCTGGATCCTCGAGCCCCAAGGAGAGCTTCAGTTACAGAAGTGTGTGAACAGCGTCGCTTAAGAAACCAGAAGCGCACTTATTCATACGTGCTGAGGACTAAGCCCCAGTCTCTGTGTGATGTTCTTCTCATCCTACAATAGGATTGTGTAGTTGCTGCAGAAGGACAAACCTTATAAGTCTTGCGGCATCTCAGAGTCTGACATCATGATGGCCAATTATAAAACTACAGTATTCCTCAATTTCTATTTCATCATTGTGATAGTGGATCTCCAGACGCTGGGGAGCCTTCAATACAGCAATGGTCTCCGGAATCTGACAATTCTTGGACTTTTCCCCCTCACTGGAGGATGGGGAGGGGGAGAAAGCGCTTTGACGGCTGCTGAGATGGCTCTTGATCATATCAATGCTCGGACGGATATCCTACCTAATTATAATCTCATCATGGAATGGAAGAATACTAAGGTAGGTTAACGATATTCATTAAAACCAGAAGCCTTGATCGATTGATCAGTTTGACCTCAGTGATTGATCTCATTTGATCCAGACATGTATTGTAGTATTTTTGTCCGCCGTACTCTCAATAGTAATCCCGTAATTTGAACCGTCAATCCTTGACAATGATGTATTTGATCAACATCCTTGTAAACAGATACGTGATACAGATTTAATTGGGAGGTTATCAAGGGATCGCAATAATGTATTTGCGTCCAACAGTACAATCTCTATTGTTTGGGACGCCTTGAAGAACGAAGCGTCTCCGCAATTAAGTCAACCATGTACTGATTTGCCCACCTACATCTAAAATGATGATCCAAGATTAAAAATCTAAGCTCAGAGGTGGAAACATGATTACTTGTGATGGCGCATTTAAAATACGTTGGATGAAATGGGTGTCACTGGCGTTATACTAATTCTTGTACGTAATTCTTCTGTACTAGGGGCGGTGGGTTAGCCCAGTAGTTAAAGCGTGGCTTGTTACGCTGAACACCCGGGTTCGATTCCCCACATGGGTGAAATGTGTGAAGCCAATTTCTGCTGTCCCCCGCCGTTATATTGCTGGAATATTGCTAAAAGCGGCGTAAAACTAAACTCGCTCGCTCACACTTCTGTACCTGAGCATCTATACATCGGCGGGTCGTCCTTGGAGTACCTCGCATTCGCATGTATTCAATTTGAAATTGTTTTTGTGTGTAATTTCATTTCATTTGCCGCATCATTTCTACCAACTATTTGAGTCCTTACAGTCCGAATCATTCCCTTGATTTAGCATTGTCGTCTTGCGTGTCATTCCATTCCATTTGTAGAATCCTATGTACCAGAAAATGTATTTTTTAAAGTCAGAAATTATACTATATTCAAATAATATTTGGTGTCCTTTTCCGTTTCATTTGCAAGTTGAACTTTACACAAGTCATAATCCTATGTTCAGAAGAATATGCAGTAACCCAGGAAAACAACTCTCCTGCCATTCACATGTTTACCTATAGTCTGCATACATTAGCTCCACAACACCGTCAACATTTATGTCACTTAAATCTATATATATTCAATGTTTCACAGCATACAAGTGTTGACGCTGAAGCGGCTCTCCTCGTACTTTTATTTGAAGTTTCGAAATGGCTTTCTCTGTCAAAAACTTAATTGAAGATGAGTCTGTCTAGGGACAACAGGACGGATGCAAACTATAAGAAGCAGTAACTTGATGACATTATCCACCACGTGTTGTCGACACCTAACAGCGCCACCGAAGGCAATTATTGATAATGTTGGAAATTGAAGACAGAAGGACGTTTAAGCTGTACGAGATGATTAGCGCTCCCACAGTTATAATGTAACACGTTACATAATTTGATGGATAGGCTGTATCCGGCAGTATAAAAATGAAAGCACCCTGTCACACTCACAAAAAAAGATTAGCTTGTTAGTTTTTGTGTCGTTGTCAAACATCATGTCTCCTTCTTCATCAATTCCAGTGCAATCCAGGATTGGGAATCAATGAGATGTACAGACTCCTGTATGACCCCCCGACGAAAATTGCCATCCTCGGCGACGGTTGCTCCTCCGTCAGTGAAGCAACGGCACAGGCGTCATTTTTATGGAATATCACGCAGGTCAGTAGAGGTTACATGCTCTTCGAGGTGTCGTACTGTCTCATGCCGTAGGTGTTGCAGTGACAAAACAGCGTTCATACACGTCATTCTGATTCTTAACCGGAGACGTTTGTTGTTGCAGCGCAGCATGCATCTGTTTTGTATGATAGACTTTAAAATCATGGTTTTATCTTTTAACGTATGCTTACTCCGCCATTGTAATAGACGTTCATGATCAACGTTACGTCGGCTTGTTGTTTAACGCCGCACTCAGCAATATTCCAGCTATATGGCGGCTGTCTGTAAATAATCGAGTCTGCACTAGACAATCTAGTGATCAACAACATGAGCATCGATCTACGCAATTAGGATACGATGACATGTGTCAACCAATTCAGCGAGCCTGACCACCCGATTCCGTTAGTCGCCTCCAACGACAAGCGTAGGTTACTGAAGATGATTCCAGCCCAGATTTCCACGGGGCGATCAACATTACGACATTCAAAGCCTTGGTAAACCTTCAAAAACATTACGGTCGATATGTGGAAGACGTTTTCAATTTTGACTCATCAGAGTCAAAAATGATGTATGACGCAGCTCTGTGTTGTAACATATACCGTGTTTTAGTATAGGTTAGTAATTGACTTGCCTTTGCTTTTGTTTGTGACTGCAGCCACTATCGGGGCAGGGCACGCCAACGTCTGGTATTGACACTATGTGATAGTGATTCATAAACAGATGCATATGAGATGGTGGAGATCTCGTATGCTTTTAGAACAGTTGTCGTTTTTATATGAAATGTGTAAATTTTAGATAGCAGGGACAATGATCTCGAATTTCCGCTGGACCATGTTTTCACTGGGAGGGGATAATGTTATTTAGATTAATGTTGGCATTTCAGCGAGAAGAATGCGAAATGTGATACTTCAAATCAAATATATGATCGTAAAAACGACAGGAATGTAGTGCTGTGACATTTGATGAAACAAGGTAAGAACATTGCAGTATAGTGATGGAAAGTTAATTAAATTGTAGGCGGATAAAGACCCAAAATGCGGGAAGATGTAATCGAAATTCTGATTTTCTTCAAGAACGATTATAAAATACTCTACGACTTGTCAAATTCTCTTCAGTATTTCTTTCACTTACAGCTTTGTCTGTCTTCTTATAATTCAGTGAGGCGGTGAATGACATTCCGACTGTTTAATGAGAGTTTGAGGTTTTCGAAAGTTTATAACACTGTCAAACACTGCTGTGTGGAAGTATGCCACTGTGTCAATACTTCGAGTTATCCGAGGGTTGACACAATTGAACAAAACGATAAATAAGGAATACGCATGGGCCACGCATTTACTTCGAGACATTCATTAGTTCGAGACATCAAAGTTCGATACAACAGTGGTTTTTAACACGCTGATTCTTTTAAAGAAGGAACATTTACATATAAGTAGAGTAAACATATTAACAAAATAGTCCATTCCGCTCAATATAGCAATTCGAACTTTTGACCTAATTCCAAGGATTTTCAACAAATGTTGTTGTAGTTGTGAGTTAGTTTAACACAGCACTGAGCAATAGTTTTAGTCAAGGTATGTAACGGTAGCCATGACTTAACATAGTCTTGACCAGACAATCAAGTGATTGATATCGTGAGCACCATGGAAATACAATGACGTGCAGACAATTTCCTCCTTGAATCTGATTATAATTCAATTTGTTGCCTTCTACAAGAAGCAAATGTTGCTGCGAGCCAAATTCACCCCCTAAATTCAAGAAAACACTCACATTATCCGACATTTAATCACTTTCAAACCAATCTTTCGGACGGTCGGGTAGGCTTGTCCTTTCCCGTCACAATTAAGGCAAAGGTCAATTCATATCTGTGTCCCTAAGGTTAAGAGTTTGAAATATTGTTAACAGCAGCTTTAAACGATATTCATTAGCTCTCAACAATATTACAGGAGTTTGTCTTACAGATTAACATGTTGCACTTTCCATGTTGTATTTAAACTCATCCATTCATAGCCCCGACAGTGCGACACGCATCCACATTTAAACCGATTACAGTCGAACTTTGATGTGTCGAATTGACGAGTGTTTCGAAATAAACGCTTGGTCCCTCTATACCCATTTTGCAATTTTGTTGGTGTTGTCGAACATCGGATACCCCGAAATATCTACTTATGACTCTTCAACTTCGACACAGCAGCACTTGACATGTTCCATTTATAGCCCTGACAGTGCAATATGCATCGACATTTAAGCTGATTGCAGTCAAACTTTGATGTGTCGAATTTACGAGTGTTTCGAAATAAAAGCTTGGCCCCTCTATACCCCTTGTGCAGTCATGTTGCTGTTGTGTCGAACATCGAATACCCCGAACTATCTATGAATGACTCTTCAACCTCGACACAACAGCACTGGACGTGTTCCGTTTATAGCCCTGGCAGTGCAATATGCTTCGACATTTAAACCGATTACAGTCAAGCTTTTATGTGTCGAATTTGCGAGTGTTTCGAAAGAAAAGCGTGGTCCCTTTTTACCCCTTATGCAGTCATGTTACTGTTATGTCGAACATCGGATAACCCGAAATATTTACGTATGACCCTTCACCTTCGACACAACAACGTGCGGCCGTATACCATATATGTCGAATACAGAGAAAGTCAGAAACAGACAATTTTCAACCATAAAGAAGACACGAGGAAGACATCGTGCCAGGTCACCTTCCAGATACAATGGATTTCGATTCATAATTCGTATTTCTTCCAAGCTGTAAATCGTGTTTACGACTCCGGACTGAAACACCCATAACGTCATTGTGCATTCGCGTTTGAATACCAGGCTGTTTCTAAAGACACCTGTAGGGTGCCAAGTCAGATAATGCTCGTCAAATATTTGTACATTGGCATAAAGCTCTAACTGAGCGCACAATTTCTTTCTTCACTTCTTGCAGAATAAAGGATCGCGGTAATGTGTTCGACCGAATTTTGTAACTAATATTGTCCATTGTCATGTTTTATTACCCTTTGAGAAATAAATGTGTGTTATATTGACTTTGGAACAAATTCCTTCGTTCTGAACACTTCAGGCGTATCAGATCTGGGGTAAAATCATTTCAAGTTGCATTAAATGTTTCAAGTCAATTCCAACAGTTTCCTGATTTGAAAACTTTATGTTTAACCGGCTGTTTAAGCAAATATGTAACTAGCTGCTCGGCACACGGTGTGTTCAGGTGGATTATCAACAGTAATTGTCACAAGGTCTATTTAGGTGCATTAACGACGGCGCATTATTGACATGTATATTAGGCTGTAATAATTACGAAATAAATCAATATATATGGTGTCAGATTAACCGGGTGCAGCTGATGAAAGTTTGGAATTGTGGTATGTAACTGGTGATCCCGGCCTATGTGGCAGCCATATGGTCAACTACCAAAGCTTTGTGTTAATAAACACGAACTAAGACGATACATATGTATATCGTTTAAGTTCGTGTTTATTAACACAAAGCTTTGGTAGTCCCATATGGCTGAAATATTGTTGATGTATATATGTTGTTTAAGTTCGTGTTTATTAACACAAAGCTTTGGTAGTCACCATGTGGCTGAAATATTGTTGATGTATATATATCGTTTAAATTCGTGTTTATTAACACAAAGCTTTGGTAGTCACCATGTGGCTGAAATATTGTTGATGTATATATCGTTTAAATTCGTGTTTATTAACACAAAGCTTTGGTAGTCCCATATGGCTGAAATATTGCCGATGTGACTTTAAATATTGATTTAATAACCCTTAGTATCAATTAAGTTCGTATATATCGTTTAAGTTCGCAAGTCATAGATATGTCTCTCTCTGTGTACGTGTCTGTTTGTCAACAAAGGTCAGTAAAATAACTAGAGTATCACCGATTTACATATAGAACTAGCAAGCAGCCAAAAAAACAATATTTTATATATACGATACGTTATGGAAAATGGGCTGTAGATCGCCTGCATGGCCTGTAGAGGCTATGATAACATGCTCATGAGTGCAGCAGTTTTGTGTGCACTTCACACAGCCACCATGATATAAAGGTTTAAAATATGAAAATCAGAATTTTAAAAAAAAAGGTCATATGTACATCGTAAACGAAAACAAAACTATCGTTTATTTGATTCTGCAACTGGAAAAAAAAAAGACATGTCTTGAAAAACTAATATTTTCTATTTTGCTTTTGGTATTCGGTAAATTAGAAATATATGCAGCAAAATCACATTTGCAGATTTTGAATCCATAACACGGATTGCATCGCAAGTAAACGCAAAGGGTACCCGCAAAGAATGCATTAAGTTTTGCACTCAGCAATATTCCAGCTATATGGCGGCGGTCTGTAAATAATCGAATCTGGACCAGACAATTCAGTGATCAACATCACGACCATCGATCTACGAAACTGGGATACGATGGCATGTGTCACCCAAGTCATTGAGCCTGACCATCCAATCCCGTTAGTCGCCTCGTAGGACAAGCATGGTTTGCTGAAGACCATTTCTAACTCGGATATTAACAGGTAGTGAAAAATTAAACGCAGTATGAAATGTTGTGTGGTATCAAGTAGGTAGTGGCATCAGCATCAGCATCAGCATCAGCACCATCACAATCAACAACAGCACCATCGCCGTTATACTCACTCATTATTATTACATGGTGAAGGTAAAAAAACATAACACGATCCAATTACCATTACATCGTTATCTAGCAGAATTGATTCTCACGCGTATGCTTGATCAAAGCTTACAATCTCACCATATGCCTAATATTATACCATTCTCACGTAAACCATTAGTTCAGTTGTTTGAACGTTTGAGAACACTGTTTGCATGTTCTTGTTTTGCAAATCGAGCATTTACTTTGTTTTCTTTCATATTCAAACAACCGCCTCCGCTGTGTGAAGTGGTTAGAGCGTCCGCCCGGAGAGCGGAAGGTCGCGGGTTCGATCCCCGACCGCGTCATACCAAAAGACGTTAAAATATG